CCTACTTTCACTACTCCATCACTGAACCCTTCGTCTTGGCTTCTCACTAGGTTCAGCAAAACCTCTGCTTTCTTGCAGTCACAGGACAGTGCAGTACTTATGGCTTTGGTCTTTACATTAGTAGGTTGCTCTACACCACTGTTCAACAGGTACTCAATGACATTGTAACCAATGATTGGCTCCTCTGCCACTTCATCGTCACCACATACCAATACCGGCACCTCCAGTTCCAACGGTGTGGTTTTGTCTGTTCCCAGCTTGAATGTCACTTCGACCCAGCTCTCAAACGGGATCACTGTTTGATTCACTGCTCGACCGGTGAGGGTTCCAGGGCCTAGGATCTCTTCAAGGCCACGTAGTGTTGTGTGTGGGAGATGTTCTTTTCGCCACTTTTCATTCATGAGACAGACTTGTGAGCCAGTATCCCACAGCGCTTTTGTTGCTACACCATCAAAGAAACAGTTCACCATACATTTTTCTCCGATCAAATTCAATAACTGTGCATTATGTTTGGTGGACAGCTGATTAGCAGTTATGGACCTGATATGGCGCAGATTGCTCTCCTTCCGCTTTGCTGCTTCCTGAGCTTCCAGCTGCTTAACCCTCTGAGACCTAAGGGTATTTTTACAATAAATTTTCCGTCTGGTGTCATTTACTAAAAAAGCTTGTAAAATATCAACTCTTTGGTGCACAGACAATTGACACACCTCTTTTTTTTCAGGACAAATTGAACTTTCAGCATATTTGTGTTACATTGATGTCACCTGAATGTAAAATAAGTTATGGGACCATAAAGATAAATGAAAAAATAAATCGGAAATGGAATCACTCAATTATTTATTGAAATCACACACAAATAAATAAAAGCTAAGCAATTTTCCTCTGGAAAATAGTTTGTTCATGTCTTTGGAGTCCTGGAGCACAGGAATAAACATTATAACTTGTACAGAACAAAAAATATTGACATTTTTCCAAAAGAAGTCCAGGCGTTTGGGGCCTCATGAAATTCACTGGTGCCAAGCCTCAAAACAGTTCCTATCAGCAATCACACAGAGGGCCACATCACAGGTTTTGCATTTCTATTTTATTTATTCTTTTATTTATTATGTTCTTTTTATTCTTTTATAATACATTTATACTACTATAATACTTTTTTACAGTAAATAAATAAATGGCACTTCAGCTGGGTCTATCCTGGTAATCTAGTTCATCATCTGTCAAAAAGCTCTGTTCTCCTGAAAATCCTTCATCCTGCAATGCACCAAAATAGACCAGCGCTTTATTTACGTCCATTTCGCTGTGTTTCTCTGTGAATCGCGCGTCTCCGTGAGTCTCTCTATCTCTCTACACTATATCAGCGCTTGGTTCATGCGTAATGACGCACACCAATGTTTACAACGGATCAGCCTGTAATTGGTCAAAAACCATCACGTGAAAACATCACGTGATATCGAGGATGTCCGCTAGCATCGAGCTAGCGGCAAAAATGACCGAATATTTATGAATTATGGGCTTCAAGATTATCAAAGTTTGACATAAAGCGTTTGGATTTATTGCTAAAAACCTCTGAAAGGAAGCACAAGTTCCAGGCTGGATAGAAAACCTTCTGTAAAGGCTAGAAAGACCCGAAAGACACCCCCGTGATGGCTAGCTCGTTAGCTTTCTGCTGGAAAAAACGGTAAGAAAATCGATAAATCTGTCATCGAGTTATGTAAACATTTATCGGAGGTGACGTGTGGCATCGTCGACGACGCCGTCGGGCTCAGGGGGTTAATGCTCTCACACAGGAGTTCATGTTGATGTTCTGGCCACAGTGATGATGTTGTGCGAGTTGTTACCACTATAGTGTTAGCTGAGCGTCCTCTTTCCGTTCTTCCTGCAGGTGGTCCCCGGCACCCTCTGGAGAGATGTCCACTTTGCCCGCATTTAAAACAATGATCACATTGGTCACCTCTGCCCTCATCTTAACATCCACGGCATCCTCGCTTCCTTTCTCTGGGCTGTGTGGAACGGTAAGTACTCATTGCTTTCCTCATTTCTCCGATCTCCTCTTTCAGCTGTTTAACAACCTCATAAAGCTCAGAGTCTTTCTTGTCCATGACTAGTGGAGTTTTTAAAGCTTTTAATTATGTGCATGTGGACTGTTCTTTACCTCCAACAGCATAACCCATCCTCTATTGACTCTGACGTAGTTCTGCTGGAACCTCACTGACTTTAGTTTCTTTGATGTTGGCATTCTTCTTGAACTTTTGCTGTCGTTCGCACTCAAGACTTGCAGCTTCGTTCATAGATGTGATGAGAATCTCATCTGTGATTGTAGGATCATCAAGGCAGGTTTTTAGTTGATACTTGATGTGATCGTTTGATAACCCTGTTCCTAGTGCGCGCAGAAATCTTCTCTGTATGAGATCGGGGCTGTACGGTTCTTCTCCATCTGGTTCTCGAGCAGCAGCTAAAAGTCTTTCCTTCAACTCAATGGCACGGAATAGGAAGTTTTGTGGTGACTCACGACTCTCTTGAGTGATGTTTATTAGTCGATGATACAGGTCTGTTGAGCTTTCTTCCTTATAATGGCCTTTCAGAATCGTGCGCAGCTGAGAAAGGGTTAAATCAGTCTTGATCTCCAGCATATCACGCAGGCTCATACCTGGACTCACTGCTCTTATCACCGCATCAATTATTTCAGACTCTCTGTGTCCCTTGTTCACTCCAGCATCAATTTGGTGCATCAAGTTGTTGTATGAAAGCTTATCTTTCTGACCCCGTTCTCCAATTTGGCCATTAATCTTAAAATCACGCCGGATAGTGACTTCAGGGACTGCAGGATGATGATGGGAAAACACAGGGGGACTTGACACATCAGGAACTTTCAAACTCAGACGTTGGATTTCGTTTTTCAGCACATTTGTTGACAACTCAAACTGATGCTGCAATTCTGTGTACTGTCTCTTTAAAAACGCGAGCTCCGCCGAATTTCTGTCTGCGTCACCACCGCCCTCTTGTACCGCGCGGTCACCGATTGGCGTTATCCCGCGTGAAAACTCTAACAAATTGTTCACATATTGACGGGCTACATCATCATCCTCCGTCTCTATAACACTCTCTACTGCTTCACTTATTAATCTGATCAGCGAGTGCCGTTTGGCTTCTCCCTCCACTGATAGTTTTGCATGCACACACACCTCGTGCAGCTGATCGAGCCGCAGCCGGAGCAACGCCGCGCTCAGCTGATCTTGCAGTTGCTCAATGTCCATGCTCAGCGTTTTCGTAGAATCACTCACTCAAACGGCACCGCCGATCCCATCCTCGTCGCCAGTATTTTGTAGCACACTTGAAGGAATGAACAAGCGTGTGAATGGTTGGGTTCTTTTTATTCAGCCAGCGTCATTCGCAACAGCTCCGTGCAACACAGTACAACATAACTCTACGCTTCAAATCTCGTCATTTTCTCGCGTGAACATCACTCTACACTTATAATCTCGTCTAGGTTTTCCTCTGGCTTACCGCCACCCACTGGACACACCTCACATCGCTGTATACCACGAATATTAGTGCATACTGACTAATTAAATAACCACCATTAATAAAATAACAGAAATAACAAAAAAACATTACACAGGGGGGTCTAGCTTTTAACTCACTATTATCTTATAACAATTATTAAATTACATATATTCTATCAATGTATATTCTAGATTTCCCCATATCAGCCTGGGCGGAAAAAAACGCAGACCGTGCTTCCAAACCCTGAACTGAGGCACTGGATCTAACAGGTGAAGGCTGAGATAGGGCTGGGCCCGTCTGAAACCCTGCTGTCAGATCCATTTGCGAACCATTACCCGACCCGCGGGGAGTGTGAACCAAACCACCCTCCTCAAAGAGCAATCAGCAGGAGCACAGCTTTCTTAATGGTAAACGCTCACAATGCTCACAATCAGCCCTCTCAAAACTGACTGAGCATGCTTCACTCCCAAACACATAGCATCCCCACCCATGAGATATCGAGTTCAGGGATGTTCACACTTATATTGCTGTTTGCTGTTTTTTTTATATAATAAATATATATGTAACAAAACCCTTGCATAGTTGAAACTAAGGAAGGACAATAACACTTTTCAGGCAACGATTCACACAGAGCGCTTGCTGAAGGCACAGAAATTAACGCTGATATGATTGAGAGGTGCTTTATAGTTTCCTGAATGATGACGTCACCCGCCTATGATGTTCCTTCGACTTCCAAACAGATGGAAATGGACAAATACTCTAAACGTTCTGATCAAATTTGACTTGTAATGTTGCCCGAATCACACACTGTTCCTTCGTTGGCCGGAAGAGAACTGGCCCCTGATTGACCCTGGTTTCTCCCAAGGTTTTTTTCTCCATTCTGTCCCTGATGTAGTTTTGGTTCCTTGCCACTGTTGCCTTGGCTTTTGGCTTGCTTAGTTGGGGACATTTAATATTCAATAATATTATTGATCTGTGTTGTATTATTTTCATGTTATCACTGGGAAGCTGCTTTGATACAATATGTATTGCAAGAAGCTCTATAAAAAATAAAGGTGATTTGACTTGACTTCCGTCTCGTCATTGGACTGATTCCATTTGTGCTTCATGACACAATCACTCAGGGGCGTTCCTACAGCGTTTCAATGCAGCTCGTGTTCCCCAATTTGTGGACTCATATGTTGTGTGACATAATCCAAACGCAACTTCATTTGTGTTTCGATTTTCCTTTTCTGTGTATGTAACTTGTTTATTTCTTTATAATATTGATAAAGTTCTCCATTATGTTTTTATGTTACACATACATTTTCATAGGTCTTAGTAACCCAGTTCTGTCATATAGTTTTATGGTTTTGTGTTTTTTTGGTATGCTCATTAGGGATACTGTTTTTCAAAGATGATTTTGTAAAAACCAAATAAGCATTACAGATCTTTATTGGCAAGGGTTTAAACAACATTTTCAGTGCTTGTTCAATAAATAAAAACATGGATGCAAATTTCAGATTGAGCAATTAAGATTTATTCATATATTGAGAAAAGTGTGCTATTTGAGTTTTGTGCTTATGTCATTTCACTGCACATTTGTGGCGCAAAACGTCATTACTTCAGCACAACACCCACCTAAAACATAGAATGCACAGTATTAGTAATTAAATCTATCACTTTTCCTTCAAACCTTCAAAAGAACGAAACGAAATTTCGAAACTATCACAGAATGTTTGATTACCTTGTCAGAGGATATTTCAGGGCATCTCCAGTTGTAGAGGTAATACTGCTTGTGTACCTCTCCCATTCTGAACTTAAGTGGCTCCAAAAAAGCTTTATTATCCATTACATCCATTGCAGAGAACACATCAAACCCCCTCTGAACAGACAAATGGACAGCATAATAAGTCAAGAGATCATAACTATACAATCAAAAGAAGCGTAATGACTCTATAGGTCAGGGTAGTTTGGTTGTGACAGATGGGCAGCAAATATCTTCATACAAGGCATAATCGATATATTCAGCTGTATTGTGTTGATATGCCCTTTGACTTACTGCTTTACAGATGATAAGGGTGTCCTCCATTAGCTGCAGCAGCGGGGTGGCTTTACTGATGCAGTAGAGAACACAGGCTGCTTTCAGGTCTTTATGCACAGGGTGGTTCAGAGCCGTAGAGGGAAGAGTGTAGAAACTCACCATGTCAGTTACTGTACCGGTCATGCTCTGAATACAGACATATGAGTGGCATTAATTCAGCACATGACAGCTACCGTAGATGTCTGAATGAGAACTGAAAGGTCCTTTTCATCATACTGACCTCCACAACATATGTGTCAATCACACCATCTTGAGGCAGAAGCCAGTGCTCAACATCCTCCAGGGTCAGAACAGGAGAGAGATGAAAAGCCTTTAGATGTTCTTTCAGAAGGGCCTGAACCACTTGAACATCCTGCACAGTCATGGGGCGAAGGCCAGTCGTTTTTGTTGTCTGTTGTGATAGAAAATAAGGAGAGAGATTATTAGTGTTGTTAAAAGATGTACATACTTTCTCTCATATCTTCAAAAGGACTCCAAACGAAGACAGTGCCACTATATTCATTTATTTATTTTAGAAACAAACCAATATGAACTTAATATGAAAATGAAATAAACCTGCACAAAAGGTTTGAGATCTGCTCTAAATTAGCCGCAAATGTTTTTTTTTTTTTTTTTTTGCAGAGAGTTTGGGATTACTATGATTTTTGGAAAGATATTGATACTTCTATTCTTGTTAATCACTGTTTACACCTACTATGTGCCTTATCTAGTAATATATAGTCTATAGAGAAATTAATTTAAAATCATTCCAAATCATTGAAAACAATTAACTACTTTAAAAAATAATCACTGACATAATAAATCAATACTCAGTGACTATCAGAATTTTTTGCTATCAGAAACTCAGGAAAAAATTAGGGACTCAGTAGGGCAGTCTGACCTCAGGAAGCCGATTTAGCTTGAGGGCACGCTGCAGGGTCATGTTATGAGTGAGAGAGAAGAAATTCAGCTCAATCAGCTTGCGTGGGTTCAGCGATCTGTGCCAGTACCTTTTAACAACCATAAAGAATAACAGAACTTAGTTTTTAACAATACCACAAATAAAACAGCACAGGTCTGGGAGTGTAAGAGAAATATCCTGACAATTTTCATACCTGCAGGTTGCAATAGGCTTTGGTAGGACCGCACTGGTGCTGTAGACTGCTTGAGATATACCCTGCTGACGGACACGTCTGGTGATCTCCTTGATTAGGACTGGTGCCACTCTTTTTGAGCGAAGTTTTTTGTGCACGCACAGGAAGTTCACTTCCACCATCTTTAGCTCTCTGTGGAGCATCTTTGTCATTTGTATCAATCAAAATTATTTAAATAGTTTTAACCAACTGAAAAAAAATTCTTCACTTACATGTCAAATACTTTCATAGTAGCAGGAATGGCACTTATGAATCCCACTAGTTTTTGACTGGAGTTTACTCTGACTCCACAGTGCCACTGTGATTGCCCTCCAGGGGGGCATAGAGCCCTCCAATAAGTGCAAAAACATAGAGAAATTTTATAATCAGTTGTTTGTGATCATATTGATGTAACCATTAAGAGATCAAACACACCAGAGCAAGAACTGTGGAGAGTAGTGCAGACGAAGTGTGTTGTCATCCTCCTCTGTGTAGTTTTCATTCAGCAAATCACAAAGTTCTCTCAGCTACAATTACATAGAGAAACATAAGGAGGAACCTAGTTACAGGGTTGAAGATAAATATCGTTTGTCTTTTACTACAGGTTCTGTTGTTCCCAACTAGTGCGTGCGCAGAATTGCAAAAAATGGAAAGCAGAAATGAAAAAATCAGGAAAGATGCTTTATAAAATGTAAGTTTTATCCTATCTGTGTGATGGTGTCTTCAGAGTGCTTTCTCTTAAAACAGGTATTTTAAGCAGGAGGATGGACTATATCAAAGAGAACAAACACATAATAAACAGTACCCTTGAAAAAAAATAAATGTTCTTAATTATATTGAATGTGTACCTATAAGTCTTTTAAACTCTTTAAGAGTATATTTAAAAATATATATAATAATAATAAATAAAACTGTACTTGCAGAATAAATGACCACTTATAGGCCTACACTTTCAAATGTTTCTTAAAACACTTTAGACACTTTACACTTTTACTTAAAAAAAGGTCAGATGAAAAATTTTACTTTACAGTACCTTAAATACTTCTCACCTCATTTGTAAATATACTGTCACCATATTTCAAAGACACCAAGTAATTATGAAATTACATATAAAAGTGTACTAAAGTTCTTAAAGGGTAAGTTCACCCAAAAATGAAGATGAACCGAAGTCGCGGTTGGGAACAACATGATGTGAGTAATTACTGATAGAATGTAGAATAATAAATTTTCCATTAATTTTAAATAACCTGCAATCAGTTTCCGAAAACATTCAGTTTGCATATATTCCTTTAAAGTATATTACTTCCGTAATAATTACAGATATAATATATACATTAATAATGAATAATTAGTAAGTGTTTTGACAAGGGTAGTTATCATTTATTTACTTTCGGTAAGTTTTTTTTTTTTTTTTTTTACTACATTAGAAAATTAATGAGTACTTAACATTTTATTAAAGTATAATTTCATCAAGGCATCTATATTTTAGTTCATCCATTTTAGTTCAAGTCCTTTCTCTTACCTGTTTCTGATTGTCCAGGTCCAGCGTGTCCCAAATGAATTCCTGTGGCAGTGAATACGACTCTTCTCGAACGCTGGGCATCTCTGTCTTAATGGGCCCATATGATGTCACTTTCTCATCTAAAAGAGAATGAATGACATTTGTTGAGATGCACACAGGTAAAGTGGTTTCTAGCTGCACTGTAAAAAATAAAATCATAAAAAAAGGGTCAAATAACTGGCAGCAAAGGGTGCCAAACAAATACCGTAAAAATAAAGTAAAATATCGTAATTTAAATTAAGTTGTTTTACAGAAAAACACTGTTATTTTACAGCTATTATCTGGATTATTACGATCAAACACTCTAACTGTAAAAACAATGCATTATTATCATCAAATACCTTCATAGTAAAAAACAGTCAATGACTGTCAACAATGGCTGCCATACAAAAAACATAAAATGAATGTAAAATAGCCTAATTTAAATAAGTGCAAAAGTAGAAATCTTCAGTAAGCTCTTTAACAGAACAGTTATTTAACAGTTATTTCACATATTTCCTGAATGTTTTATTAAGAAACATGTAGGTGATGTATGATTTACTGTCACTATACATCACTGCATCAGCAACTACACAGTTACTGTCAGTTAAATAAAGGAACATGCAGCATTTCATCAGTTTTATTCTGCTCATCCTGAACTGAAGCACAGGCTCTACTCTTCAACACAATGGTGACCCACAAAACACACCATACAGAAACAATCCATACTTTATTTATTGCATACTAACATTCTTACTGAGACAGATGTTTAGAAGTTGATTTTTTATGTAAAATAATAAAGGTTGATGTCACCAAGATGGAGATCAGTGTTTGCTTTAGTGGGGCTCTTGACCCTTTGCTTTTAACATTACTATTTCTCTGGTTGCTTTAACTGAGTGTCATAATTGATATATATTTGTTATGGTAGGAGTCCAAGAGAATCTCAGTTCAGAAGATCTGATCACTTATTAATGGTAATGTTTTTCATGTAATTGAATGCTTGGTGATATCACCTGATTTTTAATGCACTATGGCTCAGCTTGTCAGCTAACTACAGCTCTTCGTCACAGCAAAAACTCAGTCAGTGTTAATTTAACACTCCTGGGATACAGGAGTATACACTCAAGAGTGTTAAAGTTAATGAGATAATTAAGTGATTAATTGAGTGATGATTGAGCATCATTGAAGACACCTAAAGCAGAATCACAAGAAGAAAATCTAAAATTGTAAGCCACCGTTATGGAGATGAGTGTTTGCTTTAGTTGGGCTCTTGACCCTTATTTTATAAACTTTATATTTTAATTGGCTGTACCTGCCAGATGAACAAAGAAAAAAATATTATCTAATAATTTTTGTTATATTATGACAATCATTATTTGAACTTAATGTTTGTGACTTATGTTGTCGGTTACATTATAACTGTGATTCTGTATAAATACCCAGAATTTGAGATATAATATAATGGATTTCTTAAAAGTTGTACAAAAAAGAAAGTCTGTCTTTTAGGCACACACAGATATCAAGATTCAGTCAATGCTTCTCAACAACGGTGACGAGTAGAATATTCAATTAGGAAAAGTAAATTACATAGACAATTCAGATCATAATTTATTCATACCGCAATGCATGATGGGAGCCATGAATGAGTTGTGATTGGTGGCAACAAGGATTATTATTGTCACCACGGTTGAGATACACAGGCTGATTATTGATGTCTGCGTTTCTAAATAAAGATAAAGGGATTTGATCAGAACAATTTTTATTACATGTTTTGGATTATAAGAAAAATACAGATTATCATATGCTGCAGAACCACTAAACTGTTGCCAACAAGTTAAACCGAATCATCTGAATAGGTTTCATTTAGATCACAGTATGATTATGTCAAAACATAACCAACTCTGTCAGATCCCACTTTTCTTTGTTCACTTGACTGTTAGAAATCAATAACAGCAGACAAACAAAATTTAAAGTGAAAGTATAAGTGCCGAGAGCCCAACTAAAGCAAACACTGATCGCCATAACGGTGGCTTACAATTTGTGATTTTCTCCTTCAGTGATTCTGCTTGTTATCACCAGGTGTCTTCAATAATGCTCAATCATCACTAAATGAATCACTTAATTAATATTGTTTCAATATAACAAGGTTCATGGGGAAAAATACGAAAATCCTAGATTTAATCTAAAACTTAAGTACACCTATTTATAATGTAATCACAACAGATACACTCGGGTATTTCTCTGTCATATCAGTGAATCAGGTCACCATATGATGACTATAACATCACCAATAACTGACCAATATCAGCTGATATTTTCCCCCGCTTTCAATGCTAGAACAAATGTATGTTAAAAAAAATAATTAAAGCAGCCAGAGTAAAACTAATAGCATATAATAAAGGTCAAGAGCTCAACTAAAGCAAACACTGATCTCAATCGTGGTGATGTCAAGTTTTTATTTAAATTAACATATTTTTACTGTAATTTTATGTTTTTTGTTTGGCACCCTGTGCTGCCAGTCAATTGACCCTTTTTTGACGATTTTTTTACAATGACGGTATTTGATCATAATAATGCAGGAAATACCTTTAAATAACAGTGTTTTTTCAGTTTATTTAAATTTTTAAATTTTACTTTAATTTTATGGTTTTTGTTTGGCAGCCTTTGTTGCCAGTCATTTGACCATTTTTTTATGATTTTTTTTTTACAATGAAGGTATTTGATCATAATAATGCAAGAAATACCTGTAAATAACAGTGTTTTTCAGTTTATTTAATTTATGATGTTTTACTTTAATGTTACAGTTTTTTGAGCTACAGTCATGTAATCATTTAACTGTTTTGTTACCATTTAATTACAGATTCTATTTGTACTTTTACATAAATGTTGATGTAATTTAAGAAAACAGAAAAATGCTGTATGAAAAATACAATCAATTTCTGTAAAAAAATGTGAATGACTGGAATTTTTTCTTTAATGTAACAATACCTAAAATATCAGCTGCATTTTTATTTTCCAGATATTATTTGTAATTTTACAGTGTTTTGAGTAAAATTTAAAATGAAAGAAAATGGTCGTCAAAAATCACAGTTATTTTCTGTGAAATTAGGATTTTTTTTTACAGTGTGTGCACTGTCCATCATACCTATCTTAGGGACTGGCTGGGTATCCCAAAAGCGGTATGTGTGCTTTTGAGCCTCCAGTAGACTTTTTGGAGGTCCCTGACCAAAAGAAAACAAGTGCAGGGCTTTTTGAATCTCCTGTTGCTTTTCCTCAGGAAGAGAGTCCAGCTGGAAACAAATTTGAAGTTATTTGAAACAGGTAAATAAACCCATACATCTCATAAAAAAATATACATATAGACAGACTAGTCTTAGTTACCATTTCGAAAGGGTCCTGTGGCCCCTCTTTAGCCCATGTTTGGTCCTTGTGTTTCTTTGTCTTCTTCTTCTTCTTGCCTTCAGCACCCTTGTTTTCCTCTAAACTGTTTAAAAGCAGTACATTTCAAAATTAAAGAGAGAGAGAGAGAGAGAGAGAGAGAGAGAGAGAGAGAGAGAGAGAGAGAGAGAGAGAGAGAGAGAAATTACAATGAATAGATACAGCACTTACTGCTTGGCCATGAAAGTGTTTTCGGGCATTGGAGCAGCCAGTGAAGTGAACATTCAGCTCTGTAGTTGTGGATGTTTGTGCTATAGGAGCTTATCTTTATGTGCTGTTAGGGCAGGAGGGAGACACCCAGCCTTCATCATGAGTATCTACCAATCAGCTGCCCTCCACACCCACACACAATGATCACTTATCTTAGCGCAACACTTCAGGCTTGCTTTCAGAGCCACTAATAGTTTAAACTAAAAGTTTAAACCAGTAGACCATTTTTCTTGTGTTTTTCATCATAAAAAAATGCAATGATTTTAGTTTTTTGTAAACTAGGTTTAGTTTTCTATAATTTGCCAAGATGAGTAGCATGATACTGCAATTCCAGTGGCTGCAGTTCCAGGACTGCATTTCTAAAATTGTTGTATGTACTAGCAGTTCTATTTTATAGCGCTATCCACTCAACTCTCATACCAATTCACAAAATTAACGGAACGCAGAGCTGATATAAAAAATTGGATGACTAGTAATTTACTACAACTAAATTGTGAAAAAACATAGATTCTAATTATTGGACAAAAAATTTCCTCACGTGATTACCTAGAATACTGTCTAACACTTCATAGCTGCTCTAAGTCTTCGTCGTCATTTAGGAACCTGGGTGTGCTCTTTGATACCAATCTTTAATTTGAAAGTCACGTGTCTAGTATCTGTAAAACGTCTCGGTTACGTATGTAACCCTCGTTCCCTCAGTAGGGAACGGAGACGTTACGTCAGAAGTGACGGAGATTGGGGGTTTCGCATAGAAAGCCAATCCTCTTCGAGTATTTAAAAATGAGCCAATGGCATGCAATGCCTTGGGGCTGCGGAATTTTGCATAGCGTACTCCGCCCTACTCCGTGAGTATAAAAGGAGGAAGTGAACGCAACCGCAGTATGTCTTCGCTGAGGAGCCAAGACTGAACTCGGCGTCTACCCAGCGATACAGCAGAAGTGGCAGGGAGACGTAACGTCTCCGTTCCCTACTCAGGGAACGAGGGTTACATACGTAACCGAGACGTTCCATTTCGTAGTCACTTCGAGTTACGTCAGAAGTGACGGAGATTGGGGGTCTGTGCCATCACGCCATCTTCAAGCTGTCTTCCAGTGCCCTGCGAAAGTCTGGACCCCTGCCTTACCTTTTTTTTTTTTTTTTGGGGATCCCACTTTGACACAGGATTACCAAGGTACACTGGGAAACATATCCCGGGAGGGACATGCTACCAGCTGCCAACCGAAGGGAGGACTTACGAATACACATATGGCCACATAGGAACGCATATGGAAACACTGGAGCACCAACCGCAGGTGGCTACTAAAATTCAACTCCAGGGGTGGCAGATGGCTTGCCAAGGGAAGACACATGCTCAGAGAGGCTTACAGTGGATGATACACATGAGACGGTTACCAAGGGGAACCGTACGCATGGAGGCACCTAGCCAGCATCCAGAGCAACAGCAGTGGTGCCCGCATCGTCGGTGCTGGAGGACTCAAGACTTCAATGGAAGAACTGAGGAGATATCGCACTTATCCAGAGTGGAGTGGCGAGCAAGCGAAGACACCTGAGCGGATCCAGAACTGGCCGAACGAGTACGTGAGAGGATACCGGCTCAATTCGCAGATTATAGAATCTGGCGAAGGTGTTGGGTGTCGCCCAGCCTGCAGCTCTGCAGATGTCTGTTAGCGAGGCGCCATGCGCTAGAGCCCAAGAGGAGGCCACACTCCGAGTGGAATGGACCGTCACACCAAGGGGGCACGGCCGGCCTAGCTGCTGGTAAGACAAAGCGATGGCGTCCACTCTTTCAGTGGGACAGCCGTTGCTTTGAGAGAGCCCTTCCCTTCTGGCTCCCCCCATGACAGACAAAGAGCTGGTCTGAGGTCCTGAAACACTGCGTTCTGTCGACATAGGTGCGGAGAGCACGTACCGGACAGAGCAGTGCCAAGGCTGGGTCTGCCTCCTCCAGGGGCAGCGCTTGCAGGTTCACCACCAGGTCCCGGAGGGGAGTGGTAGGAACCTTGGGCATATATCCAGGCCGGGGTCTCAGGAATACGTGAGAGTAAGCCGGCCCGAACTCGACGCACACTTCGTCAACAGAGAGTGCGTGCAGGTCCTTTACTCTCCTGATGGAGACCAATGCAATCAGGAGTGCTGTCTACATAGGACAGGGCAAAAACTCACCGACTGCAAAGGCTCCAGGGGAGGCCTCTGCAGAGCACCCAGGTCTACTGAGAGGTCCCCAGAGGGCAGGAGGGGAGGGAGGCGGATTTAGCCCCCTCGCTCCCCTCAGGAACCTGATGACCAGGTCATGCTTCCCATAGACTTACCTTTCACTGCATCATGAGACGCGGCAATGGCCGCGACATAAATCCAAAGGGTGGAGGGCGACAGCCTACGCTCCAACCCCTCTTGCAGGAAGGAAGCACGACTCCGATCGAACATCTCCGGGGGTCTTCTCAGCGAGAAGAACACCAATTGACGAAGAGGTTCCACTTCAACGCATAAAGGTGTCTCGTGGACGACGCTCTTGCGGAAGTGATGGTTGCCGCCACCGCAGGTGGCAGCGAACTCAAACCTGCCTCGTCCCGTCCAGGAGCCACACGTGCAGCCTCCAAAGATCGGGACGAGGGTGCCACAGAGTGCCCCGTCTCTGAGAGAGTAGGTCCGGTCTCAGAGGAATAGGCCAAGGAGGTGCTGTCGCGAGGAGCATGAGTTCGGAGAACCACGTCTTGGTGGGCCAGTAGGGGGCTACCAGCAAGACCTGCTCCTCGTCCTCCTTGATCTTGCACAACACCCGTGCAAGGAGGCTCACTGGGGGAACGCACACTTGCGTGGGCCCCGTGGCCAGCAGTGCGCCAGCGCATCCGAGCCGAGAGAGCCACGGGTCAGAGAATAAACTGGGCGCTGTGGGACGAGTCCCGAGAGGCGAACAGGTCTATCTGTGCCTCCCCGAACTGGTCCCAAATCAGCTGGACCGACTGGGGATGGAGTCGCCATTCGCCGGAGATGGGACGGGCCCGGGACAGCTCGTCGGCTGCCCAGTTCCGGTCTCCAGGAATGTAACTGCACGAAGGGACCTCAGGTGCTTCTGACTCCATATCAAGAGGTGGCGGGCGAGCTGCGACAACCGGCGCGAGCGTAGACCCCCCCTGGTGGTTGATGTACGCTACCGCCGTAGTGTTGTCTGAGCGGACAAGCACATGCTGGCCCTTGAGCACGCTCGGAAGCGGTGCAGGGCGAGCCGTACTGCCAACAGCTCGAGGCAATTGATGTGCATGAGGCGCTGGGCTCCTGTCCAGGAACCGGCGGCTGCATGCCCATTGCACATGGCACCCCAACCCGTGGTAGACGCATCCGTGCAGACAACGAGATGCCTGGAAACTCGCTGATTAGGGACCCCTGTCCGTAAAAAGCTGAGGTTCGACCACGGGAAGAAGGTTCGGCGGCACGTCGGAGTCACTGGAACTCGGAGCGAGCCGCGATGCCATGCCCACCTCGGGACTCGATCGCGAAGCCACAGCTGAAGCGGTCTCATATGAACAAACCGAGCGGCGTACCGCGGATGCCATATGCCCCAGGAGCCCCTGAAATAGTTTCAGTGGAACCGCACTCTTGCCCTCGAACTGTCGAAGACAAGCCAGCAGTGAGTGCGCGCACTCGTTCGTGAGCTGCGCGGACATGGCGACCGAGTCTATCTCCATGCCGAGAAAAGAGATCCTCTGCACGGGGCAAAGTTTGCTCTTTTCCCGGTTGACCCGAAGGCCCAGACGGGCTAAGTGCCGTAGCACCAGGTCTCTGTGTTCGCAAACCTGAGCTCGAGAGTGTGCTAGTATCAGCCAGTCGTCGAGATAGTTTAGGATGCGAACCCCGTGTTCGCGAAGGGGAACAAGGGCTGCCTCGACGATCTTCGTGAAGACGCGAGGGGACAGAGCTAACCCGAATGGGAGAACGGCGTACTGGTATGCCTGGCCCTCGAAGGCAAACCGAAGAAACGGTCTGTGTCGAGGGAGAATGGAGACATGGAAGTACGCGTCCTTCAGGTCGATCGCTGCAAACCAATCCTGATACCGAACACATTCGAAAATGCGTTTGGCCGTGAGCATTTTGGGCAGCCGACGAGCTGTCCCGGGTCCGCCCTTTCTCTGGCGAATGGCGACTCCATCCCCAGACGATCCAGCTGATTTTGGACCAGTTCGGGGAGGCACAGATAGATCTGTTCGCCTCCCGGGACTCATCCCACTGCGCCCAGTTTTATTCCCTGTCCGTGGGCACGCTCGGCACAGATGCACTGGCGCACAGCTGGCCGCGGGTCCCACGCAAGTTTGCGTTTCCCCCAGTGAGCCTTCTTCCACGGGTGTTGTGCAAGATCAAGGAGGATGAGGAGCAGGTCCTGCTGGTAGCCCCCTGTTGGCCCACCAAGACGTTGTTCTCCGAACTCATGCTCCTCGCGACAGCACCTCCTTGGCCTATTCCTCTGAGACAAGATCTACTCACTCAGAGACGGGGCACTCTGTGGCACCCTCGTCCCGATCGCTGGAGACTACACGTGTGGCTCCTGGATGGGACGAGGCAGGTTTGAGTTCGCTGCCACCTGCGGTGGCGGCAGCCATCCCTTCCGCTAGAGCGTCGTCCACGAGACACCTTTACGCGTTGAAGTGGAACCTCTTCGTCAACTGGTGCTCTTCTCTCGGAGAAGACCCCCGGAGATGTTCGATCGGTGTCGTGCTTCCTTCCTAGGCTGTCGCCCTCCACCCTTAAGGTTTACGTCGCGGCCATTGCTGCGTCTCATGATGCAGTGAAAGGTAAGTCTATGGGGAAGCATGACCTGGTCATCAGGTTCCTGAGGGGAGCGAGGAGGCTAAATCCGCCTCACCCTCCCCTCGTGCCCTCTTGGGACCTCTCAGTAGATCTAAGTGCTCTGCAGAGGCCTCCCCTGGAGCCTTTGCAATCGGTAGAGTTTAAGTCCTGTCCTATGTGACAGCACTCCTGGTTGCATTGGCCTCCGTCAAGAGGGTAAGGGACCTGCACGCATTCTCCGTTGACGAAGCGTGCCTGGAGTTCGGGCCGG